ATACAAATCTTAAACATATGATGTCAAAATATTTCACATGTATAAAAAAATTTATATATATTTAGATATTATTTATATGTATTCATATAAATATTTTATTATAAATATTTGAAGAATATTTCAAAAATAAAATCTGGAATAAACTCTGGAATATATATTTTATATATACATTGTATTACATAATAATTTAAAATGCGTTTAAAATGCGTTACTATTGCGAAGATAAATGAGCAATTTTAATTTTATAAGTAAACAAGAATAAATTAAGTAAGTTATAAATTGCTCATCCTACGATTGCGCCCGACGCTTATTCAGGTCTCTTCCTCTTTTCTTATTTATTCTTCATTGCTTCATGGCATTCATACTCGCGAAAATATAGTTAATTACGAATGTGCGTGTATTAATCAACAGAATACGATGACAGCGCAATATTTTGCATGGTACTTATGATTATTATACGCAATACATTATTATATTATGGCAAGAAAATAAATGTAAAAAATTGATTTGCTCGGCATATGGAAATTATACGATGAAATGTATGCGCCAGTCGTTCCAACAATGTTATCTGTATAGTTAACGAAGAATATATGTTCGCGTGGCAGGAGCATTTTTATAATTTCACGTTATAACATGTTGGTTAAATATAGAAGTTAAAATTAGAAATAAATATCCGCGGGACAATAATTGAAAATATTTGTCAACTGCTTGAAAAACTTCGATCGAATAAATCTCGCAAGATATTTTTTAACAACGATGCATAAGAGAATTTATGTGGTATGTGATTGATATATAAATATTAAAATATGTGAGATTAATATAATTACTATATTTACTAATTAAAACATCAACAAAATCGGAATTGTCCTGTAAACACGATCATGTTTTGTCAATTACCGAAAAATACAAAAACGACATCGATTTCACCTGATATCTCACGATATTACACGATTCTAATTAAAACGTAAAATATATGAATTTAGGAAATATATAACCAAAATTTAATATCATAAATTTAATATATTTCTAATTCAAATTTCGTAAAATTTGTTATTAAATAATAAATATCGATATATTACATCTTTTTGTTGCTTGGATCAAATATTCGTCTCCACGTTGTTTATTACTAATTGATTTTAGAAGGAATTAATTTTACAAGCTGTCATAGTTACCTATAATAATAATAGAGAATGATCACGTTTTTCCTCTCTCGAAGAAACAAGCTACCTGTTCCCTTGACTTTGGAATAATAAGGTGAACGATAACACGCGCGCGAGGCAAAAGCAAATACTACCCCACCACTCTCTATGCCGTAAGAATGAATATCCCCACTATATTCCCACTTATATTCTCTCTCTTTCTATGCCACACAAAAATGAATATTATACCTCACTATATCACTTTGTACTGTGCGATATTAATTTAATTCGCGACTATCAGGAAATATTTAACATATTATGAGATAAAAACACACGGAATATTCCGTTGCTTGAATTTAAAATTAATTATTAATTAATTATTAATAAATCACTGTTATTATATCACGACTTTTCGTTACTTTAATAACTTCTCGCCGATTTAAATGTAACGAGTCGGTTAAATGTAACGTTATTTTTGAGAATACGCAGAATCGAATGATTAAAGTAACGTAAAAAAAGCCGATGATATCATTCACATTTATCAATAATTAATTTGAAATTCAAGCAACAGAATATTTTACATGCTTTTGTATTGTAACATGTTAAATATTTCGTGATAGGAACGAATTATTCGTCATACGAATGTTGTGCGCGACGTAGAGTACTTCAGTGTTTACATACCACGGCCTTGACGTCATTCGTGCGGTGACACTCGAGTGAGCAGGTCGTGACGCAGATTGCTCCGTCGTATCATTACATTTACGAAACGCGATCATTCTCTTCAATTATTTCAATTAACGATTATCGATTCGCGTAATCGATTAATTCCCGCGATAAACAATATGTAAGTTTATCGCCTACGCATATGATTATTGATCCAAATAACGAAAAGATGTATATTGATTGTTCATTAATATGAATATTTTCTCGGGTTTATGCGTTGTAAATGTATCATGCTTGCCGGATTGAACTTCAATTAATATAAATTCTAGCAATTTGCCGCATGTTAAGCTCGACGTAATTTCATGCTATAAAGATAAAATCGATGTTTTTTTTTCAGTCATTCGGTCAAAATATTGAGTATAATACAAATCGATTTCGAGTCAAGCAACATTTCATCGATAAATAAGTTGTTATTAATCATATATAAATTTGTCATTAATACCACATAAATTTTCAATGCTTAAATTATGTCGTAATCAAACTGCGTGTTTCGTAAGATTTATGCGATCGAGATTTATTTAACAAACAAGAGTCGGCAAATGTATTTTCGAATATTATAGCTGATATTCGTTTTTAATTTTTATTTGTATACTTATCTACTTACATTATAATGTAAGATAATAAGAATATTCCAAGATAATATACATTTTTCGTTAATGACAAAGATAATTGTTGCGAATGGCGCATAAATTTGGCTGCGTAATTTTTGAATGTCGAGCGGATTTGGCATTTATTTTTGCGTCGTGATATAATAAAGTGCGTGTAATCGGAAGTGCCGTATAAAGTGTCGTGCGATCGTTGTATTCCGCCGATTAATGCACGCTTCGTAATTAACCATGTTTTTGCGAGTGAGTGCCATGTAATGAAGGATGAACAAGACTGGAAGACGAGGCCCAGGGAGGCATCGGGTAACGACGAACACCTCTAAGGTAAGCAATTTATATGTAACTTACTTATAATTTGTAATTTTTTACCTATAAAATTGCTCATTACTCTCCGCTAATAGTAATTTTAAATTATTATGTAATCTAATGTATATAATTATATAATTCTTTTTCATGAATTATACAATTTCTTTTATTAAGATTTATTCGAAAAACGAATGAAAAAATCATTTTTGCGTAATAATTTTTTTTTAAAACACTAATTATTGGACATCTTTGGCATTTTTTTATACAATTTGGATATCTGTATTTTACAGTTTATAACGTTAAACACCAACTTCGCTGTGCATCGTATCGGTGAGTGAAAAAATCAATTTTTTATTTTATAATTAGAAGAAATTGACTCCTAATAATTAGAATAAATATACACGTATGACAGATACGTATGACAGATTTATGAAAATAAGAAAAAAATTATATATAAGTGAAAACTCTTCTCTTCTTGAAAAATCAATGACATCACATAATCAGCCTCTTATATATCAATGAATATATGTCGAAATACATATCGAATGGCGAGTTTTTCATCACATGTAATAAATGTGATTGTCGTACGCTCGGTAATTTAACGTAAAACTTCATTCATAATGATGTCTAACGATTACGTTCATTTTAGTCACGTAGTATCAATAAAACACTCCAATAAAAAGCATAGGCGAGCATCATAATCATTTCACTGAAATATGTTGTCGTGTCTTGAGATTATATAATACATTGTCATTGAAATCTGAGAATTATAAAAATGCACAAAAAAGTCTATTTCTTTAATTATATTCAATTAATTCTTATATTTATCACTTTGCAAATAATTTTTGAAAAATTGCTATCATAAAAATATTGCCCCTCGCTATTTTATTGATGAAAATATTCAAACGCGCGAGTTCTTTTTATTATTTTTGATTTGATTTTAAAAATTCTATTTGTCAATTTTATATATCACTGTAAAATATATTTTGCATAACAGGATCACGGTACTTATTTTAATTAAAGATATTGTGCAATATATTCCGGTGAATTCTATATCAACAACATCTGTGAATCTCGCCTATAAGTTAGACAAATAGTGAGGCTCTTAAAAATAGTTATTTACCGAGGGATGCTACCGGGAACCGTTATCGCGTGCTCGACCTCTCTTTATCTCGCTACAGAATACATAATCATTCAAATTTTATGATGTGGCTTTATAAAATGGACTCCGTGTGACATTCGCGTATTTCGCGATATTTTTCTTCGAGCGAATTCATTGCGGAAGCCAACAGTGCTACGTGAAACCCGGCAAGTATAAACTTCTCGTGGCCTCTATCCTTCGTGACTTATGACATAATTCTATTACGTGACGTATGAAACCGAATCGAACAGGACAGAGAAGGATAAATTTCGAGTAACGAAAAAGCTGCACAGGCGTCAAATTTAAAGATACCAACAGAAATCTCGTGACGATTCTGATTCTTGCATTATCGAAGTATATAATAAGTATATATAAGGACGTCGTATATCATATTTTTTAATCGTTTTTTTAATCACGTCTGTTCGCGATAATCGCTTGTAATTTCTCAATTTAGACTTCAGAATTTAAATTCATTGATAAATATGTGACATGAATGTGCGAAGAATAAGCGAAAAATGGAAAACGGTGAGACAGAAAAAAAAAAGACATGATATTTAGAGTGTCGTTAAATTAATTATCTGAATGATATTTTACTTTGATAATCAAAAATATATTCATGATGTGACGAATATTGAATATTAATATATATCGAATGTTTATTTTTTATTCGAGTTCGCAGTTACTTAAATTGTATTTAGATTCGTTGTAGCAAAAATTTAAGAGATACTGGGGCAATATATTTAACACATTTGCATCGAAATGTACACTATCATGACGATCTATAGTCGGATGGAAAAGTTACGAGCGGGATTTAACGGGCCTGCTTATTGCCCCGCTAATTTATCCGGCACTCGACTTCGCTCTTGGGAGCTTTTTCGCCTTGGGACTTTATTTATTCCTCGGCAAACAAAGTTGTTCGTGCGCCCAACACATGCAACTGTGCTGGACCTTAGTTGATCTTTCGCTCTCGAGAGGTTTTCGAGAGTGAGAGCAACGTTCGAAGAAACACACACTCGAAATCCGAAAAGACAGGAAGAGAGAAAGAGAAAAAGAAAAGACGCAAGCCATCTCGGGAATACACATTACCTTGGTATGAAGGAACGCCAGGGATTTGTTCACGTTTTCGATTTTGTGAACTCGCATGCGTCCATTATTGGGTTTGGCCAATCGTTCCCCGGAGATGATCTCTAATAGTTTGAGTAATTTCTTGCCATCTGCTAGATCGGTGAACAGATCGTCCACCTCCATGCGCGCCTAAAAGAATCAATTTTAAATTGTGATATCAAATTCGAGAAAAGATGATATATAATCATTCGAAATATTATTATTCAAATAATTATCAAAGTAATTTTTCAAATTATTATTTAAAGTGACTTCTCGACACAAAAAGAATTAATGCCAAATATTTTAAGAGGACATTCTTGAGGCGTAAAAATAAGAGTGTATCATTTATATATTTAATATATATAAAATGGAAAATTGAGAAGAAAATCTTTTACTTTTAACAAAAACGAGTTGATCCATTTTGTGAACGTCTTCTTCTGAATATGAAGACGTTCTTCCTGCAGGGCCTTGATACGGCCCTGCTCGAACTTGAGAACGTCCTCCCTCTGAGTCATTCTCTTCTGTATTTGCGCACCGCCCCTGTATCTGTCGACTCTAGATGGCGGATATGCCGAGGCGTATTCGAAACTACGGGTCCTTTCTTGGGGTGCGACGCTGGGTCCGGCGCCGGGCACATACTGCGCCCCTAGAATAAAAAAAAAAACATCCGCTTTTTAAAACTAGTTCTGTTAGCGTTCTGGTTAACATAATGTAAACATAAAACACACAAGGCGGAAACACAACTATAAATGTTCCCCTTAACGCGATATTTCCTTTCTGGCAAGCACGTGCTTGAAGACCTTTTTTTTTCGTAAACAGCAGTTCTCGTGTCCTGCGTCACGCAGATATAAATAGATGTTGAAGTTAATTGGCGACGAGTAACGAAATCAAAATGTAAAGGATTTTCAGAGTAGCCACTTTTCAAGGAATTGAGTAAAAGTTTTTGCTAGTATACCAAACGGTAGGAATTAATTATTTTAAAAACTAAAAAATAAATTTTAATCAAAATATTAGATAGAAATTTAATATTAAATAGAAATTTGTAAAGTAGTATTATTAAAGTAATATTATTTTTTTTAATTGAACAAATTTTTAAAAAGATATAGATTATAGACTTTTACAATTCGTAATACTTCGTAAACTTTTTATCATGAGGAAACGCCGTGCATAGATGCAAATCAAGAATTAAAAGATAATCATTAAATCGATGAATTTAGAATAGCGACGTATATTTTTAATTGCAAATATTTATAATGTTGTATTGCATTTTGAAAAAGGCCACGAATTTTATCGATTCTCTACGAGTGACCTTTAGCAAGGAAAATGATATATCAATAATCGACTTCACATTCCGATTCGAATAAGCAGGTGTTTATTATATCTTTTGGATGTTAATTTACTGACAGCACAGTTTATAATTAAAATCGAGAGATAAAGATTCGATAGCTCGTAATAAGTTATGACCTTTTATTGTCTTGAAATATAATGTTCTAACGTTTATCCACTGCAATATTACAGTGTCGATTCATCATGACGCGTTGAATAGCTACATCGATAAGTAACTATCGAACTATCTTCTTATCTTGTTCCATAGAATTTGACCTCGTCAAATTAAAAACATATATCGTATGCGATCATTTCTATGATTTATAAAATACAAAAATATCAAAAAATATTAATGTACAAAAAAAAAATAAAAAATGTAGTAAATGATTGAAAACATATTTTCATTTACGATTAAGCTTATTCTGAGCTTTTTTGAAATACATTCCGTACTTTAAATAATTAAAGAGGTGAAAGCAAAAAAGAGAAGTATCTGTTGTATTTTTTTTGGCATCTCTACGCGATAACGTAATGAATATCTCTCGTAAAGAGACTGATTGCTTTAAAGTGGAGAAGTGGATAAGAATTGTGCAGCGTTAAAGATGAAAGCACACACGTCGGCTTTTCTCGCGCGAGAGAATGAAAAACGGGGCATCTCTTTCTCGGAAGGATTAACGAGCTATGATAACTTTTATGAGTAGCAGTATTTACGCAGCAGGCAGATAAGCGAAGAATCGAAACTCGTACGCGCTAAAGTCAATATTCAAGATACGCGAAGCCGCGTGTAAAAATATTCGCGACAATTTTAATTCAAATTTACGGGATTAATTTAATTGAAAACGCGCAGAAACGCAAATATCGCGAAGAAATTATAATTTCTCGAAAGATAAGGCGATAAATTTAAGCGAAGATCGCATCATTTCTTATATATATTTCAACTTACATATCAACTTCTTTTTGATAAGACTCATAAAAATCAAAATATTATTTCTGAACAAAAAAATACATGGTATGATATATCTGTACTAATAAAAATAAATGAGTAAATTTGACGTTTCGAGAAAATTAACGGCTACTTTTGACGACCAATTTAAAGTCAAATCAATTAGAGATTCTTAAGAATATTAACAATTATTTTGTTTCAAAATTTATCGATGAGATAAATTTTATTTTCAAATTTTATTTATACTCAAATATAAATAAAATTATAATTAGAATTACAATTATAATTTTATTTATATTCAAAATTTATTTTCAATGATAGAAAATGATACAAGATACTTCTTTTGTATAATTAGTTTTCGTCACATATAACGAGACTCTTTGCAAAAAACAGGGGTTTTGCACAAAGATGAAAGAATAATGAGAGAGAAAGGACGAATCTATTTAATTTTCCTCAAAGTTATGCGAGAATGCTAATGCGAAACTCGCATTTCATACGCGACAGTTTGATAATAGGTGCAAGCGCATAAACGACGTTGAAGACATGTTTCTTGCCGAGCACTCGTGACTCGGCGGGATTATTGTCCTCGCTTATTGTCACTTTGGCTACGTAGATGCTGTCGTAAATTTTTCTCCCGATCTTTAAAAGGACGCGTTAGCGGGAACGTGAGCGCGAGCGTTAATTGGCCCAGTGTGGGGAGCGCAAAAGAAAGGGATGCATACGTCGGAAAAAGCACGCGCAACTTTGAAGTGTCAATTATGGCAGCTGCGACTGCACGTGCAGGATGATAGTTAATGTGCACTTGCACGTGCGTGACGCTCTTGTAGTTCCGTGTCCACGCGATTTAACGCTAGACCGTCAAACGTTGTTTGAAGTTGTCGGTCTGTCGGATGGATTTTTTTTTATTCATGTCCTTGTATTTTTTATTTTCACTTTTACTTGTTCTATTATAAGAAGAGAAGAAGAGGCAGAGAGAGAAATAGCGTGGACTTTTAATTAACTCCAGCTGAGTGCTAAAGCAGCGTAGAAGTTCAGGAATGAGAGTTGAAGGTTAAAAATTTAAGACGAGGATAAATCTATATTTGAAGATTTTATACACATACAAATTTGACTCAAAACAGGAAACTATGCAAATAGCAACAAGATTTATTCAATATTCTGTGGAGACTTCATTTAATGTTATTTGTATAAGGATTATTTTGTCAATATTATGTAACTAATTTTGAAATTCTTTCTTGAAGTTTCTCGATTAATGAATAATATATCAATATTTTTAATATTAATAATCAATTAATTGACGAGCACTTTAAGAATTGCGTCCTTGCATCCTAAATTGATGTCAATCGTTAGAAACAGGTATTAGAAAGTTCGCTAATAGAAAACGTGTCGTCTCTTATTTCTTTCTCTTGTCGCAAAAAAAAAGGATCAAGGACGTATCTTAGTGTATACACATTAAAGGACACGCTTTCACGAATCGACGAAATTCGTTTACATGCGCGACAATTTTAAATGTCACATCGTCTGGTTTGTGATGTCACGCTCAGAATCGCGCATGCGTTCGCCACCGTCTGGAACGCTCATTTCGAAAGTGGATTAAATGCGACATTTTCACGAGACGAGTCATGTTTTGAATAGCGCTTTCACATATCGATATATTAACCAGAACGTGACATATATCGGTTATCAAAATGAAAATTGAAAGTTTGGAGATTCACGACTGTAGCTGTTTGGATGGGAAAGTAGCTCTTCTAATGTCAAAATATAATTTTCTATAAAATATTATGACATTAGACATCTATCATTAAAAGATCGACGCATCGAGGAACTTGTGATATCAGATTTTCAAAATTTTCTGGTACAGAGGATCTTTAATAACAAGAATATTGATAGGTGTCAAAGATCTCTGATCGAAGAGTTGGAGTAACGGTATTTGAATCTATATCTATGCTACTAAGAATCTATAACATTAATGATTCATGGTATCACGTATCATGGCAACCGATAACTAAGGATCCATCAGCGATTTATGGTATCGTAAATCAATGGTGTCAAAGATTTATCATATCAAAAGTCTATAATGAAGATAACGAATACCTATCAATATCGAAAATTCATTATGTATCAAGATCTATTAGAAATCAAAATTTTGAAAATTCATTATGTATCAAGATCTATTAGACATCAAAATTTTGATGACAAAAACTATCAGCTCCATCAAGATCAAAAATATAAAATGACAAGGATGCAACGAATTTATAAAATTAAAATTTTTGATACTAACGATTTATGATACGAGAATTTATGGATCCAGAGACAAAGAAAATATGAACGCAAGGATATTGATAACATTTAGGCAGATTCGATTAGAATATTGAGATAATTGGACGTGTACAAAATACTCCCACACGGCAGTCGCATTGTGTTATGTGACTATGACATGTACTTGGTGTGAATTCTTTAAGCGTGACGCTCACGACACATGCTCATCACTCGTGTTAAGTACATTTTGTACAGCTTATAATAAGGAGATACAATATGTATGTATATTAGTAGCGATATCTTAATCAAGGTGACATTGCTTAATCCCTCAAGGAAATTCATATCTGGTCAGTCGACATAAATCTTGATATTAATAAATATAATTTTTCAATTTTTTTAAATTTTTGTCCTAATTATGATGCTAATTATTTTTTAACAATTTGCAGAAAAAAATATTTTTAATTTTTCACGTAAATATATTTAGGAATATAATCATAATTTATAAATCTTTCAAACTTATTTCATATTATATATTCCTTTTGCTTTGCTATAATTATTATAAAATTCTAAATGCATATTATTCTTGATGTCATTAAGAAATTTTTTAAATTAGTTACGAGGCAACGCCGAAAAAAATTTATGATAAATATTGCATGAAACCTTGAGAGATATTTATATTTGAATTAATATAGTTTATTTCAATGCACTTGATTGGTATGTGTCGGATAATCCAGAATTTCTTTGATAGATTAATTAATGACAAATGGTGGATCAGGAATTCCATTTGGCTTGTCTTATCTGCAGAGATAAAATGGTGAAAACAGGTGCGGTTATTATGAAATTAAGTTCACACTGTGCGCATTAGATTGTGATTAGACACCATCTAGATTTAATTGTATATAATGACTAGAATCATTCCATTACATTAGCTAATTATGTAACAAAGAAATATATACGGTGAGAAAGAACTTGCGAAGTAATGAGCAATGATAATTTTCATACATTTACCAGAATAATAATAACGTTGATTATACGCCATAGAATCCACCAATGCTTTCACGCACGAAATTATCTGTTTATCTTGTCTTTTTAATCGGCAGTGCGATTTTCATCCTCGAATT